TAGGTGTAAGCTAATAAAGTAACTGAACTGTTCCTGAATTGTCCCACTGAGTTTCTTGGGCTGAACCTGACATCAGCTCAGCTTTTACCCAACCTGGTCCCCTGGATATAGTGGGCTACAATTCCTATCACCCTCGGCCAACCTGACGGGCAGTCCAAGAGACTGGTGATGATGGGATTATAACTGTTCAACCTACCTGGAGTGTGATTTGCTGGGGAAATCTGAAGTAAATAAGGTGCTTTATAATGCAGCTAAATTGTGAAATTAGATTGTGATTCTTTTTTAATTCATCAAAAGTATAAAAAAGGAAGTAAAAAAGAAACTTGAATTTGCAACAAATAAAATTAATTTATCTCACATCCTTTTAAATATGTCTTTCCAAAAGAGAAATTTAAATACAGTATGATACTACCCACTTTTTACTGATATGTTGAATGTTGTATAGCTCTGTACTCTTGTGATGGTATTTTTATAAATTCCAAGCCCCCAGTTTTGAAATGCCAGTCAGTTATAAATGGCTGTATAGATTTTCACTGTTTTACAAACACAACTTCTCTAATAATAGAAAATGAACCATTTATGAAGAGCGCCTCCTTCTTCTAGATAAGTCAGATAGAATGACTTCTTTAGCTATAAGTAGCTAGCTGGTATGTGACTCTTGAATTTGGCTTCTGCGCAGGGAACCCCTATTTTTCAATAATTCTTCTCTGTCTTATATGCACAGAGGCTATTGCTATACTGTATATAGAAGAGATAGGAAAAGAGATTGCTTTTGGTCTTTCATCCATGATTCCTCTTACCTTTACTTAGGGAGGATTCTTGATTTTTTTAAAATTCACCTATTTTTCTGTTGTTACTTTAATCTGTGAAAGAAACTGGCTTTTAAGAAAGTTTGTAATCAGTTTAGGAACACTTCGTTTTTCCTGTTTTGTGACAGACTACTGTACAGATTTTAAACATTTTGGAACAGTCAATTTTGTCTCAGGAGCATAAACAAAGCCTGTTTCATCTGTGTGCAAATGTAGCCTCATCCTTCTACAAACTCTAAAATCCTTTAGAGTACATATATTTTTAAATTTGAAATATTTGTGTTTTGCCTCTCTTGCAGTCATGCCCAGGTGCAGCAGCTCCTGAATCTATACAAATATCATGAGAATTGCATGGCATAAAATGTCATACAAACTGCCAGCCCAGAGTTTGACTCATCTAATAACTCATCTAATAACTCCCAATGTCAGTGACTACCCATAGCTTTCCTAAAGTGAAATATCTTTCACTCATTTCAGAAAGCCAGAAGAAAAATGCTTTATCACAATTCCTCTGGAAAATTATTTCATAAGTTTGGGACCTCTATCAAAAAGCAATCTTTTTTTGGTGGCGGGGTGGAACAGACCAAGCTAACTTCACACAACAACATTCCACAGCAATTCTTGTTGGAAAATAAAATCCCAATATCCATGTGTTTCTCTCATTTCTTCACTTCAAGTTATTGAACTATTTCTGCAAGTAAAATCAAAGAATTAATTCATGTGGATAGGAATAGTGCAGACCTTTTCCAACTACAGGATGGAATTAGGCCACTTATAAATTTAATAAATAAATAAATAATAAACTCACTTTACTGCATGATATTTAACCAAGTTGCATGTTAATTAGTTAAGTAATATTTGTATATATAATGTTTCATTTACTTAACTCTGGACATGTTCTCTGTTAAAATGCACTGAAGTAATCATGATCATAAAAAAGTCTCTCTGCTAGGGCATAATATGTATGTATATGTATTTAATACGTATAACTACAGTTGCACAGTCCCTATTAAATTTGACCTCTCATGTTTTTGTCCTGCTTGAATTATTGAATACATTGCATTTTTGTAAATTGGGTTTATGTAATGTGGCTTGAAAGGATTACATCTTTTCCTTCCAAGAATGTCTTCAGCTTATCTAAAAGTAATCATTCCTGTTTATCACATAACAAGGCTCAAATCTTTCTAATGCTCATGAATTTTAAGCAACCATATTTCAGTAATCTAAATGGCTTATTGCAGCATTGCTTATTTCAGATCTACAGCAGAGATAATGATATGTCTGTCTGTGTGCTGTGTGTTTTGAGGTGTCTCCTTTGGAAATTATTTTCTTTGTCATGAGTAAGAAAATATATTTGCTGTAAATGATAGATCAATGAAAGCTCTGGGCAATGAGCTTGATCTTTAGTAGGTTGCCAGCAGCATGCTAACATTAAATGCTAATATTAATTATTCATAATACTAGTTTTTCCTACTTACTGTTTGCAAGCTATTCATGGGCATATTTGCTGTTGTGAGTGCAACAAAGTCAAACTTTTAGCCATTTCATTGGATTTGGAAAAGCTCACATCTGAATAATAAAAATAAAAGAAATTTATTTTATGCCTTGTCTTTACACGTACAGTACAGAACTTTCTAATGTGGCTTACCAATTGTAATAAAAATGCAATAATAGAATTATAATAAACAGTGAAAATAGCAATGAAAAACCTACATTATTAGGTTCCTTCTTAAATGAGCAGTTGCCTGAAAGGGAAGGGGAAAGTCCAGCTTGAGCTGGCTCTGAAATTTTTGTTTCCCTCCCATGTTGGTCTTTTCTTCCCCTTATAACAACAATATATAGATCATGTTGCATAAAAATGCCTGAAAAAGACGTACAAGATTTAGCTCAGCTGCATGATTCTCTTTTATATTGATGCTCATTGCCTGCCAAAATCCCCATGAACTGCTTTGGGAACTTATCTGTGCTTAAGTCTGACTGTGAAAGGGAAGCTGATAAGCAAGAAATCAAATTACAATGTCCATTTTATGATAATACGTTATACACAAGGCTTGTTCCTAAGTTGCAGCTGTCAGTTCAGCTTCTTTCTGAAACGTTCGGAAGAAAAGAATGATACTGTCTGGCACAAATACTCAAGCTGGAGGATTTATTTATTTAATATAGATTTTTAGCCTTCCTATTAAATCCCAAGTATGATACAATAGAACAAACCAAAAATCCATACGAAATTAGAAAGTTAAAATTATAACACAGGATCATGACCTCAACTACAGAAACATGCAAATGACTTTGCAACATATGTTTCATGAAAAGCCTGGGCAACATTGAGCAAGCAAACAATGAGAACAAACAGGACTTTGCCAGTGCAATTTAGGAGGGGAGTTAAGGTGATTTTCTAATTATCTTTCCCTTTAAATTGATAGTTTTAGCTGAAAGCCTGAGAAGGGAACAAGAAATAACAAAACATCTTCTACTGGTGGAACCTTAAAAAAATGAAGACAGATGGACAGAAGTTTGCAGCTGTGACCTGTAATGCTTGTGGCATGTTTCTGTTCCTGCCTGAAAAGAATCCAGCCTCTATTTTCAGCTGGTGGCAAACAAAGGATTGGAACAGTGAAAGATTGATGAAAGAAGATGAAGAGATCACAGAAAGAAGGAGGCAATTCTTCATAAGGCAGAGAATCATAGAAAGTGCCCTGTTTGACCAAAGTAAGGATTAGGGATGTCACCGAACACTTTCCAAGACTTACCAGGTCCACTGCTAGTTATTCCTTTCTGCTAATCCATTGTTTGGGGGGAAAATGCTGTAAAAATCTTATAACGATATCCCCATGGATATTGAAGGAAGCTCAGCACCTTTGGGCTCAGGTGGGGTTGTCCTTATTCCTTCTACTCCATAGAAGTGTATTGAAAAAAGAAAGAATACTGCACATGAATGCCTGGCTATCAAACAGTTGATGGAAGAGATTTGGTTTGCTGGCACAAGAAGGGTGTACTTCACAAGGACTGGGGAAAATGTCCTTGGCTGAAGTATGGAGAACTTGATTGGAAGGGCTTTAATGGAGATTGGAGATGAAAGATAAAGACATCAGGAAAAAAAATGTGTGTATTATAGAAAGAAATGGAACTGTTTCTGTAATCGGGCCCTTAAACTCCTCAATGAGAAAACATTGCTGCATAAAGTTTACAGCCTTTGTTATCTATAGACTAATGCTTTGACTATAGGATATAAAAACATGAGATTGCACTCTTAGTCCAGAAAGGCAATTATGATTTAATAGTTATGAGACCGGCTGGTATGAACTAAGGTCACAACTAAATGATCCAATTTGTTCCAAGGAAACAGAAGCAATAGAATGGGAGGAGGAGGATGTCAGCATAAAAGGAAGAGAAAAGGATCACTATACTAGTATCTCAGGAAAGAATGTAAACTGCTACCTAGAACAGAAGGCAAAGCTATTCAGCTCCTATTTTGGTTCTGTCTTCTGTAACAAGAAGGCAGTAGGGCAGAGCAAGGTGAAGGGACAGGGCAGAAGATATAGACATGCTCAAGAAATACTTACTTAGCTGACTGAATTTAAATCTCAGGGCAAAATGCATTGGGACCTAGGATATTATCCTGAAATATTTCAGCTGCTCCTTCTCTCTGCCATTATGTTCCTTTCCAGCCAGAAGTACCTGTTGCCTATGCATCAAGGCTGCTTGCCTTTGGGAGGAGCAGGCAACATGGTGCCCTTCAAATGGTTTGGGCTGTAACCCAGACACTGCTCTGTATACACATTCTGCTATAGGTACATTGATTCTAGCTCTCTCTCCCCTCCTCCATATATATATACATACACACACACACACACACACACACACACATATATACATACACATACACCCACCTACCTACCTACCTACCTACCGACCTACCGGTATATGCAGAAATAGGTTTATGTACACATATATAGATATGAACGAAGAAATATAAACTGTGTAATGCTATTCTGGATTTATATAGCTGTTTACTTGGGAGCCTGTGTTACTGATGCTTTCAGACGAGTTCCTTGGCAACTTCGTTTTTTCTTTTTAAAGACGTGCTGCCTCCTAATGCATGCAGGAAGGAATAGACTTAAAAAACTGAACTAGTATTCAGCTTCATGGTCTGCACAACTGTCTTTCAGTTTGCACCCCTGGGTGAGTCTTGCAGTTCAGAGACGACCTGTGCATCTTCATTCTTACAGATCCAGCAGCCACAGAAAAAGCAGGGCGCCCAGAGGATCCTGTCTGCCCTACCAAATATTTCAGCGTTGTATGGTGCAAGGCCTCAAAGAAAAAGCATAAGAAGTGGGAAGGTGATGCTGTTCTTATAGCGAAAGGAAAGTCAGTGATGCTCAAGGATATGGAAGGCAAAGACATTGGAAGAGGTAAGACAAATTAGAATGAAATGAAAATAATTGTTTGGATGTATATGGGAAAAAATATTGCTGTGCAACTTTTGACCAAAAGAAGAAAAAGGTACCTTTTGATAACTGGGGGCCACACTTTGAAGGGAGGTAGAGGAATATAAAGGAGGTGGAGCTGCCAAGAAATGAGCTCAGAGGTTCAAATGGCACCTTCCACTGCTTAAGATTTGTGAATTTCTGAAGGAATTATTTATCTATTGGTAGATAGAGTATTACATAGCCACATCAGCTAATTGGAACATGTGTGTTCAGAGGTAGTTTTGTGATGGCTAACCTATGAATGATCCATTTAGCCAGGCTTGGCCAAATTTGTGTCCTCTAGATGTATTGGGCTATCACCCCAGTTATTATCAGCTCCAGCTATTACAGCTATTCTCTATGCTAGCTGGGGAAATAGTATTTCAGTGGAGTTGGAATGGTCAAGTGAGAGGAAAAATGGCAATGATTAGATCTTTGCATAAGTGGGTTGGGGACTCAGCTTAGGGACCGAGATGGCAAATGCAGCTGAAAGATTTAAATAGTAGTGAAATGCTCTCAATGTGCACTAAAATTCCTTGTGCATGAATAGAGTATATTTATTATCCCCTAAAAAGGAAGGAATAAACAGAACTCTCTCAATAAAAAGAGTATTTTGAAAGTATTATTATGAGCTACCTGTTCTGAAATACATCTTTTAAATCAAATCCAAAGTACTGCCCTACCATTAGATACGGCCCGAACATTCCATATACAGAGTATTATCCACCACTTGTCTCTCTCTGTCTTTCTGTCTTACATGCACACCCCCAAACTATATTCTATTTCAGTCTGGTTATATTTTTTCTTACTGCTAGCCTTTTAAGAATGTTTCTGATAAATAATAGAATTTAACATCTGTCATAGCCACAACACCCCTCCCTACATTTATGTATTTGCAAATTAAACCCAGTTCACAGGGGTGAAAAACAGTCTGCATGTGCTCAGTGAAATTGCAAATGTTTTTATAAAGATTTCCCCTGCAAAAATATGCAAGAAAACAGTATACAAGGAGGCTTGCCTTAAAGCCATTTCTTTATAACACCAGAGTCTTTTGACAAAATCTTTTGTCGAGTAAAGTCCATTTCATCAGATGCCTTACGTTCAGTTCTCAGTTGGCAAGTGCATATGTATTTGTTTCAACTGTCAGTATTCCCAACTGGGAGTCAAGGGTATCCAAGCCTATTACATCTGAATAGCATTATTCTAGGGAAGGGTGATAGATTACAGTAGCCAGGAAAGGTGAGTGGTGGATGGGAGGTGATCCGTACAGGGTATTATTAGGTAGCAAGGACAGTCTCTTAACATTTCAATCAAAACTTACATGGCTATGCAATAAGCACAGTGACCCATTCACCACAACTATTTCCATAAATGTGTTTGTCTGTAAGGTACTACAAAGTTCTTTGTTTTCAGAAAAATAATAATAGGTGCTGCTAACACAATCATAAATAAAAGAGAGATCAACCGTTTCCTGCACTGTATTGCCTAGCAACGAGTGCTAGCTTTCAAGTATTATTCATTAACTTGTTAATCAAGCTTTGGGGCCCTTTTTTGTTCTTTTTGCTGGTAGGATTGGATAAGTTAGGAATTCATTTAGTGAACAACAGGAGGATGTCAGATATTTTCAGGAATGTGTTCAAATTATGGGCTATTCTTTGTGACTTTGGGGTTAGGTTCTTTGTTTTTTTCCATCACTCATGAGCACTAGACCCCAGGAAGGTTTCTAGCATGCAATCTGTATTTTGGAGCAGTGAGTCTTGTGGCATCAAATGTGGATTGTCATATAATGGTATCTTGAGTCACTAATTTTTATTCCACATATTCTCAAAGTGCAGGGTTAATGTTTGCCTTTTTTTTTTTTTAATGGTACTGCACCATAAAAATAAAGGAGCCATGTTAAGGGTGTTCTTGATGTCCTTCAAAAACTTATGGAACTGTTAGAAAGAAATCTTACCAGGTTTGTTTCCAAGCCGGGAATAAAATGCACAGGCAGTTGCTTGAATCAGAGATGAAGTTTATTTCCAAGAGCAAATGTACAGAGTCAGCTGTCGAGGTGGCCGCAGTGAGTCTTCCTTTGAAAACCCTTTATATAGGGAAACCTTGCCTTTGGTTCCTCAAAAGTGCACCCCTTAGGAATTCCAAAAAAGCACACTTAGTCGTTGCCCAGAGAGGGAGCACTCTGCAATCAGGCACCCTGCTGAGTTGTGGTTTCTGCGGTTTCTACTTACTTAGCATTGTCGATTGAGATGGTAGTCTCTTCAGGGAAAGGATCTTTTCTTATTTAATCAAGGAAACATTTGCTTAAGCTCAGACAGAAAGGAAAGTTCACCCGATCAGACTGGCGCTTCTTGCTGCATTTTAATCTTTGTGTTGAGCCCATTCTAATTGTAATTTCTCAACTTTTGCCCTGACTACAGCGGGAAGACTGTATGGAGGGAGGAAGACAGTATGGCGGGAGGAAGATTTCCTTCCCATAGAACTATTTAATTTTTTTTTTTAATGGGGTAGTGGTCATAGATATAAACAATCATCAGTATTCAGCTTTTTAGTTGAAAAAAATTGGCTGTACTTCTTGCACAATATGGCCAGAATGCCTTCTTTGTTAAAATTGTCAGATTTACTTGACCAAATTTCTTCTTGACTTATTTACATCCATAGATCTCAACATAGCCTTTGCAATTTCTCTTAGGCACTGGATCTCAAATCAGAGACTTAGAAAAACTCACTGAAGGTCAAAGTCTGATGATTGGAAGCAAAGAAATTGAAGTGATGGGTGTGATACTGGAAGAGGATTTTAAAAGTGGCAAGTGCTTTCAATCTGGTCTGGAGAGCACGGAGGATGTTTGGAATTCCCCAGTTGCTTCTGCAAAGCGATTTTGTAATCCTTTCAAAAATGTTTGCAAACCCAATACTAAAGAAAATTGGCCTAACTATAAACCACGTCATGATCCATTGGCTCCAAGTAAGGATTTCTTTTTGAGTTTATATGCTTTAATCTGTCTTTACCTCTGTTTTATCCTCTTCTAAAGGAGGTGAATTAGTAATCCAAATCAAACTCATGCTCCCTCAGACTGTTGCGCTCAGAATATTGAAATTCACTCCAGTCATAGTCTCATAATATAAAGAGGAAATTCAGTTGGGGATGGCAGAGCTAGTTGAATGGGTGAATTAGGTAACCAAAATTTAACTTTTTTCTCCTGTTCTCAGAATCTCGGTATAAAACAAAGCTAGGCACTGTGGTTATGATGAAATCTAGAGGGATTGAAAAACTACATATATTAAAACAGAAATCAAATTTAAACGGAACAAGTAGAGGATATTCCCCACCTGATAGATTGGAGAAGATGCCATCACACTTGCAGCAAAGATAAGAAACTTGCCAATAGCTCATGAGTATGCAACATATCGTCCTCCAAATATAAATTCCAGGAACAAAGCGATCAAGACTTATGGGAAATGTAGTTGCTTCTTCAACAAGTGTCATTCTTAGTCAGTTGTGAACTCATTTTGCTTTAGGTTGCTACTCACTTAGAGTACAGTATAGGCCTGAGATCCCTCATAATTATTTTGGAGCAACATGCTTAGCCTCTGGAAAATGGGGTCAAAAGTGAACATTTGAGAACTCAGGCCATAGTACAGTAGAATGTTAAACTAGTTGTTCAGTAAAATGGATCTTGGAACAAGAGCGCTTTTAGTGTCTTCAACCTATACTTAGTTAGGATATCCATGTATCTGCAAGTATTATTTCTTTTAACCAAATGGAATAGTCAGTAGAAATGTGGGGTCATTTGGGGGCATCCTGTTGCAACTTAAGAATGACCTTTCCAAAGTCAGAACAACCAGAAAGTTTTCTTTACTTTTCCAACTTTACTCAAACACTCTACCCACTTAAAAACAGAGGTCCGAGCAGCCTGTTTCAAGGTCAGAATACTTCCAGGAAAATTGGAAGAGACCATTTCTCATTCAAAATGTTTGATGCATTTCTAAAAGTTGGATTATTTGGAGTGTCAATTACAGTTGGAAGAAAACTTCCAATTAAGTCAGGATAAATGCTGTTTTGCCATGAATGGGACCTGCTTCGCAAATCTGGTATATCTTCCATTTATTACGTAGCAGAGCAAATGATGGTTTCATCTTAAGAAATTGTTGAACAAATTTCACTACATATTTCAGAATACCTGTTATAAACATTTTTCCTTTGTTTAATATTAAACACCTCAGTGAAGGCTGTTTATGTGATGCTGCTAATTATGTATTAATTAACTACTCTGTCAGTTTGAGCATTAAAAGGATAGGTTTATTTGCATGTTTTGGTCTGAATTTGGCCAATAAGTGGGGGTTTTTTGTCTTTCACCTAGAAAACTGGTTGTTTTTGCTTAAAAAGCAATGCTTTTGCACTGACACCACTTATGTTTGAAATTTAAGATTCCTTAGTTATGCCATATCCGTGCCCAAGTCACCAGCAATTGTTCAACAAATCAGGTTTGCCTGTTGTGGATGTCGTTGTAGACCCTTACATTGCAAGCCATCTTCGCCCACATCAGCGAGAAGGAATTCTCTTTCTTTATGAATGTGTGATGGGAATGAGGTAAGAAGAGGATGATTTTCTGTTTTTTGATTTACATCTCCCAGTCTTTCAGAACCTTGGAAGATTTTAGGAAAGGTCAGTGAGTTTGCCATTGGAATACAGAGAACGTGCAAAAACCTGCAGATGCTAAAACCGAGGAGGGAGGGGCATGCCATCTAGGCGCCACTTTCAGCAACATTTTTGTGATGATCGTATTGAGACAGTTTTAGTCTGTAGAGAACCAGGGAGATGACTTTGTTAGGCAAAGGTGGTAACAGTTACAAAAACGAAAGCAAACTTTAAGCCCGGGCAACAGTGAAAAGTGTGAGAAAGAAGCTTAGATTGACTCCTCCCTAATTCACTATAGTATAAGAGGGAGAGAGAGGGCAACTCAGTCAGACTTTCAAGGTTCAGTTACTACAGCCTACATCAGTAAAGCATACAGTAGTTTCAGTCAGATTTTATGGAGTCTGTTTCCTGACCTGTCCTATGTCAAAGGGGCTGATGTATTTAACTTTAGTCTTAGCTTAAATGTAGAGTTATATTGCTTTCTCCCATAGTGCTGGGAAACACCATTTGTGCAAAACTTGTCCTAGATGTTCCTGATTCCTCAAAAATTTCTGTAGGGTATCAACTGTGCAGATTGCAAATAGCAAAAAAAAAAAAAAAAAAAGAGAGTGGGGGTGTGGATGATTTGGGCTTTTTATATAAAGCCTAATAAATTTTGGAGAAAGTCCTCCTTTAGGGACTCCTGCATCTTCAAATGCTCTTGGAGAG